GAGTCTGGGGGCTACTTACTCCGACCCCAGCCTTATCTGGGCCGGGTGGCGGCTCCCTGGGAGGGGCGGGGGTTGACTGAACTGGCTCCTCTACCAGCGGGGCTCGGGTCTGGGGTCGCACCACTGCAGGCAGAGCCGTCTAACGCTGGGTAGCCCCCATTAACTAGGCCACTGCTTGGGGTGGGCGGTGGCGGCTGGAGCTGACAGGCTTGGGTCTCTGGGGGAGGTGGCCCCAAGGGCCAGGGCTTTGAACAAACCACAGAAGGTTTCTGCAATATCAAAAGAGCTCTTAGTCACTAATCTATGGTGGGGGAGGGGGGCCGTTGGTGAAAGAGCCTCTCCTTGGTTTCCATCAGCGGAGGATCAAAAAGCATTTGGTCAAAAAACCTTTAAATACCTTGAAAGGCAGGTGAAGCCTGTTCAGTAGGCTCCAGGAGGTACTGAAATGTTAGTCTGAGCTGCCGGCAAGCTGGGTCCAGCCACAGCGAGTTCCGGGGGAGGGGGCTGCTGAGGCAGGAGGGAGAAATAGTGGGGATAGACCACCAGCCCTCCCCCACCATGACCCAGGAATCACTGTGGGGAGGGTGAGTAGGGCAGAGAACTGAGCTCAGACTCTCAGAGCTGGAAGAGACCTTGTAAATCTCTGGGTCAGGGTTTTTTGTTTGTTTGTTTGGGTTTTTTTTTTGTTTTTTTTGTTTTTTTTGGCCAAGCTGCGCTGCACGTGGGATCTTAGTTCCCAGACCAGGGACCCAATCCGTGCCCCCTGCAGTGGGAGCACAGAGTCTTAACCACTGGACTGCCAGGGAAGTTCTGGGTCTGGGATTTTTATCTGGAACCTGTAGGACTCTCTCTCACCCAATTATGGACAGAATGTTGTGTCTGTATTTGAATATGTGTTTTTCTAGGGAACAGAGGTCCATGGAGTTCATTACGTTCCCAGAGGAGTCCAAGGCCAAATTAAGACTAAAAATCAACATCCTTGTACAGACTGGTAAACTGAGGCTTGAAAGGATGGAATCACTTTACCTCAGGTCACTCAGCTTGTAATCGGCAAGCCAAGGTGATTCCACAATGCACCCTGATAAGGGCATCTCACTAGGCCCCATGGCTGTCTGTCTCAGGGGCCCAGAGTTGCCTGAAACTGAGGTAGGGGTGTCTCAAAACAGAGGCCTAAGGCCAAGATTCTGACTGAGGGCGGGGCTGTGACCAGCAGGGACTGGCAAGGAGAAAAGGCAATAGCTTTCATCTTTTGGGGTGACGGGGGTTTGAGCTGCTGAGCCAAGCCCTCAAGGGTGTCAGGGTGACCATGGAGAGAGAGAGAGAGACTCAGAGGCAGAATCTGGAAGGGGAGGAGGTTACAGGGAGAAAGGATGTGGATGGTGTTGGGAGTGGGGAAGGGGTTTCTGGCAAGAGAATGTTTCAGGCCCTACGACATGACCCGAGGATGTGGAATGGGGACCCAGGGCTATGAGAGGTCAGTTTGGAGCAGGATCTTTGGTCCCCGGGGCACCCCCTAGGGAACTAAGAAAAACACCTAGCCCTTGCCTTGCCATCTCCCCAGTGTATTCTCACAGACCCATGTGGTGCAACTATTAGCCCTATTTTATGGATGAGAAAAGTGAGGCCCAAAGGTGTCAAGTAACTGGCCAAGGCCAAACAGCTAGGTAGTGGCAGAGGCAGGAGCAGAATTTAAGTCTAGGATTCTTCCCTGGATGCTGTGGGCCAGACCCTGCCTCTTTAGTATCAGGCCTCCAAAGCAGGACCCAGCAGAAGTGTGGGCCCTGGGTAGACCTCTGAGATTCGCGGGTTACTGGGTCTCCACTGTGAGGAGGTGGGCAGAGAGAGGGCTGCAGCTGCCTTCTAAGGGTTTGCCGTTGCATCCTATCTGGGGAGATAACATCTGTTAATGTTGTGCTTTTACCTTGTCCAGACTCTTGTCCTCTGTAGATGAGGAAGGGGAAGCCTGGGGCGGGGGTAGCTGCGGGGTTGGGGGCAGGGTGGCAGAACAGGTTGCTCCTGGTCTGGCCCATCCGCAGGCTCTGCTGTTGCCCTGCACAGCTGCCTACTGGCCCATCTCTGAGCCTGCCCCTCCTACATCAAGAGGATGCTGAGCCTGAGTCTCTTGCTACATGGATGGTGGCGAGGAGAGAGGTGTGTTTGTTCTGTCACGTGAGCTGCACAATCAGCTTCCTCAGCATTTTATTAATAATTCAGCCCATGGCCAAGGAAGTGGGGTAGGGGGGACAGGAGCTGTGGGGAGATAGCAGCACTGGAGACCATGGCAGATGGAGGCCAGAGGGGAACCCAGGAGCCCTGCCTCCTGCCGTGACCTAGCAACAGAGCCAGGTGGCCTCAGGGGCCCTGTTTAGGAGAGTGCAGGCCTGGCATCTGCTTCCGTGGGACAGAACGTCCCTCCCTGCTTCGCATCCCTCCCAAAGCGGACCCAGGACACCTGGACCCTGAAGACAGCACCAGATCAGAAGCAGGCCTGAGGGGTCCACAGCAAGCACTGTGACAGTCTTTGGAGAACCAGGTGCTGCCAACATTTCCTGCCACGACGTGGAACCCAGGACACGGGCCAGCAGCGTCAGAGAATGAGAGTGGGATGGGAAGGGGAGAGGCCAAATCCCCAGGCCCTCATCTGGGAAGGACCAGGCAGAACAGTGGTGATTCCCATGCTCTGATCTCCTTTCTCAGAGGACCTGCTCACTCCCCCAGGCTTCATTTCCTGCTTGTGCCCAGCCCTCCCTGAGTGCTCAGAAGACAGGAACTCACAGTTGGCTTGGCTGTCAATGATGCTCCAGCAGGAGAGAATAGCCTTCAAATTCAAGAGAATGGTTCAAGGTTAGACATCTGGAAGAACTTCCCTGGCAGGCAAAACATGGGAATGGGGAGTGTCCCTGTTAAGGATAAAGTAATGACAGTAAATGGCATTCAAAATCGACCAAGAATAAGCTCTGTGCTCCAAATACAGAACTTGGTGGGGGGAGGGATGAACTACCCGCTCCTCACTAGGGCAGGGAGAGAGGCAGCTGGGGCTGCAAGCAAAAGCAAGGCAAGCCTGCGGACCCTGGAGTCCCAGCCTGTTGGCTTGGCTTTCTGGGGTTTGCCAAAAAGGGGTGTGTGGATAGTGCCTGAATTCTTGGCTGCACGTGGATGAGACTGGCTGCAGGGCGTGTGAAACATAATGGCCCTTGACCAGGGGATGAGGAGCTAAGATTTCTGGCCACTGAGGAATTATGGCCTAGAACCTACAGTTGACTTTTTTCCTTCCCTATTTAATTAGAACATTCAATCCAAGGAAATCTGTCCTCCACCGGAACAGTCTTCATGGAGGTTTGCTTGGGGGAATTTCCTTGTCTGTTTCTCAACCAGAAAAGCTGTGGGTGGAGGTGAATATGTGTGTGTGTGTGTGTGTGTGTGTGTGTGTAAGAGGCTCCAGTTCAAGGAGATGGTTTGTGTGTGTCAGTGTGTTGAGGGAGACTTGAGATGGAGGTTTGCCCCTGTGGATGCTGTGGGAAGGTGGAGGTGTGGCTGGGTGTGAGCTGAGCAGTATAGAGTCTGCTTCTCGAGGTGACAGTAGGAATCCTTGACTCTGGAAAGCCTGGTTCACCTGTGAACCGCATTCTCAGTGGAGGGGAGGGGAGGATGCTGTGGCAGGCCCAGGGCTTTTGCCCCCTTGCTTATTCCCTTCAGTTCAGGGTAGGGGCATGCCCTGTATTGTGTGAGGCTTCAGCGTCCATATCTCATTGTGTAGGAGGTTTATTTGTGTACCTGTGTGTGTGTGTGTGTGTGTGTGAGGAGGGGGTGTACCTGAAACCACCAATGGTTCAGTTCCAGGTTTTTAAAAGCCCTGGGATATGGGCCCTTTCTCCTCCCTGCCCCAGAATCAAACAGTTCCAATTCTGTAGAGAAAGGAGAATTAGGGTTCACCTGATTTGGACTGTGCTGAGCTGGCAGAGGGACAGAGAGGGCCAAGTGAGCCCCAGCGTTGGAAGGGGAAGGAGGCCTTTCTTCTTACCCCCTGAAGTTCTGCGGTCAAGGAAAAGGAGGGGGGCACTGGAGGAGTGGAGCAAGAGAAGCAGGGGCAGAGGCTGAAAGGTCTGTTTTCTTCTACTGTGCGGCTGGGTTAAGTGGGGAGGGTCACTAGGCCTAGTCCCTCATAGAGGGTGGAGCTCCTAGACTCCAGCTGTGCGCAAGCTCTGGGGATGGCCAGAGTGGTGGACCCAGGTTCAGCGCTGGCAAAAATCCACTCCTAGTTTTTACACACGCCAGCTCCCCTTCCCGGGACGCCGCGCTGTCGAGTCCGGAGCTGACGCCCTGCAGCCGCCACCGAGCGGAAAACCCGGAGTGGATCTCCACGCCTTTTGGAACGGAGTCAAAGGGCACCTCGGAGGAGGTGGCCGGCTCCGCCGCCCTGCGGGGTTCGAAGCCGCTGCCATCAGGGGCGCACCGGCGGGGTGGGTCGATCAGTGCGGCGGGACCCGCAGGCCTAAAGAGCCCAGCCGGCGGGCTCCGTGCCCTCCCTGCGGGGGCTGCGGGCGGGGCGCAGGGCGGCGGTGGTGCCCTCGGGGCGGCGGCGGGCGCGGGCTGCAGTGCGGCGCGCGGCCGGCAGCGGGCAGCAGGCGGTGGCTGAGGCGCTCGACAGCGGGCGGGCGGCGCCGGCGGTGCCCCGGGCGCGCTCACACACGAGCTCACACACACATACACACGGCCTCGTACACACTCACACACGCTCCGGCGCGCACACGCGGCGCGCAGGCCAGAGGGAGGAGGCTCGGCGCGGCTCGGCGGCGGCTGCAGCGTGCTCGGCGGGCGGGCGGGAGGGCTGGCGGGCGGCCCCCGCTCCCCGGCTCGGCGGCTCGGTGCAGCCCGCGCGGCCCCCGCCCTCGGACCCGCCCCCGGGGGTCGCCCGGCCCCATGCCCTGCAGCGGCGGCGGAGCAACGCGCGGCCACGGGCGGCTCTGAAGAGCCCGGAGGGAGCCGGCGACAAGGGGACCATGTACCGGGACCCGGAGGCGGCCAGCCCAGGTAAGCGCGGCCCCGCGCGGGCTGGGGCTCCCCGAACCGGCGGGCAGGACGGCGGCAGCGCCGGGAGCCGTCTCGGAGCCCCAGCCCGGGGCTGCTGTCCGCCGGAGCCGCACGGACTCCCCCCACCCAGGGTCATCCCACACCGGGGGCGCGGGCTTGAGCAGCAGCAGCTCGGACCCCCCCGCAGTCCGGGCACTGCCAAGCTTGATGCCGGGCGCCGGCTTTGCAGTGTCCCCACAAGGACCTCCCCCCCCCGCCCCAGCAGCCCAAGGACAACGTGTGTGGCGGAGCGAGGAGCCGCTGCCCCCGCAGTGCCCTCAGAGGCACCCCCGGGTCCCCAGCGCCAGTGCCTCCCGGGTGCCAGTGCTAGGGGACCCGAGAACAAGGATCCCGGGCAGCTTTCGGCCAAGGTTGTGGGCACCGGGAAGCAGAGTGACATCGGCGGTGCCAACTGTGAATTGAGAAGGGTGCCAGGGGACAAGTGGGAATCTGGTGCAGCAGCAGGGGAGGGGGGCTTCTAGGGGGTGGTGAGCCACAGGAGCGTTGAGGAGGGAGGTTGGGGTACCTGAAGGGAGAGAGCACAGATTGGTGAGAATAGGGGTACCAGGGGAATGTTCTCCTGGGCTTGGGGAGGGGGGAAGCAAAGAACCCCAAACTCACTCCAGTCCTGTCAGGGTTGGCAGGGGGAGGGGCCGTGCTCCTTTGCATTTCTCCTGAGCCCAAGCCCGGGAGTGGCCTGGGAGCCCACGTCTGCCTGGCATCCTGGAAGCCAAGCCAAGGAATCTTTCCACCTTCCTCGGGAAATTGCTCTGCCATTTCCTCCTTGGCTCCGGACGCCTCCTCACACAGCGCCCACCTGTAGGCAGGTCCCCTGCAGCTCCTGCCCAGTTTTAGGCTCAGCTCCCACCTGGGGTGCCCCACCCCTGACCCAGCACCCTCAGTCTGCCAGTTCTGGCAGCAGGGTCTCCGCTTCTGGGTTTCTGGGTTTCTGTCTGATGCTGAAAGCACGACACCTCAGCCTGAGGACTTGCTCCTGGACGAAGAGTCTCTAGGCTTACTCCTGCTAACCTCTGGGTGTTGGTTGGGCGTCCTGGGGGAAGGGATAGCTCTAAGGCCCTCCACAGAAGGGGCCTAGAGCCCCAAGGCTTTTGAGGGCAGTCCAGTGGGCGCCGGCTTTGTCCACTCTTGCCCCAGCCCCACATCTGCTCTTTCCC